AATGTTACTTTTAATATTTTTATTATTCGTTACTTATAGAAATCAGTAAAATCTAATAACAATGTCGTACTTTTCTTACTGAAAAATATTTAGAAGTAGTCTAATAAAAACGATTTGTACTGCGTAGTTATCTTTGTATCCTCATATTACCGGTATATTGGGGAGAACGAAACTACTTAATGGGTGGACGGGCTGCCGACACTATCAAAGTATACTCCGCACCACAGTAGATCGCGCACCGACGTCGGTCACTCAAATTTTAGAGTTAGAGCGTGCTATTTAGAAATGTTGCTCCTGCTATCACATCGAATTGACTATACGTGTTAAGGATTGCGATTATCCAGCTTACACCAGGTCTCCAATACTGTACAAACAATTAATTATGGTAGTTAAACGTGTACACCTTAATTTACTGAACTCAAGTACGATGTATCATAACGATTGTGTCTAGTGTACATGAACGTATCATCATTGTATGAAGTGGGAGGTGGTGACTGCACCCCCGCCGCTCTGAATCACTAATTAACAGTGAGAACACCTCTCATTATATTTTTTAACAATGATTCGTAATAGTGCTGCAAACAACATGGTGGAGGCTCAGTATTTTGTAGAAATTTCGCGCAAATTACTTAGAGCTCAGTAATTCCGTAATAATGAAAATGAAGAATTTGTTTAGGCTTATTTATTAGTACATGTACCAGTAAAATAGTCCCGTAAAATATTTCCGCCGAAGCGAAGCGGAGGCGAAAGGCCATGCCGCGTAGCGGCGGCGCTCGGCTAGTTAATAAGAAGTTAAAAGTGTTCACAACAAGATGTCAAAACAGTATACCTGCACATGTTCTACTGCATGCTGCGCATGACTTTATTCAATATCTACGCTCCCTCCTCCCAGTGTGGCATCGCCTCACACAGGTATGTGGCGAACCGCAAGAATACACTGCTACTGTTTCTGAAACGTACGCACATCTTCATTTTGAGCAGGGAATGACTGCGTTTGAAATGAACGCGAAAGAAGTATCGGCGGCACTATTCCACGAAGTGGCTGTCTTGACCACATTTTAAATTCGGTGTAGCAAGAAAAGTTAAGTAAAATTGATAGTAAACAACTGATGCGGATATATAAGCAGGGGTTAATGGTAGGCTCCAAAATCGGTAAAGTTAATAAAACGGTAGTGCTAATATTACCTGGTTGACCAGCTAATATAAAAAACAGTACGAAATATTTTCTTCTGACATGTGATATAAATGAATTTTAAAAATTCATGTATCATAAAAATATTAGCTAATACTTCGAACAATACGATATTAGAAGGGGGTAATATTAGCTCCAAAATCGGTGAAGCTGAGATAGTGATAATATCACCTGGTCGATCAGCTACTTTAAAAAGATTTCACCTACTATTCTCTTCTTTGACAAAATGATATTATTAAATATCAACTTAATATCACTAGATTCGATTATAATTTCTTAAATATTACGTAATCGGTTTTAATCCACTAATCATATTTCGTTACAGCTCCACTAGCAGGGGCTAATGGTAACCAAATATCATATGATATTTTTGATAATAATAGTACTATTTTTGGTATTAAATATTAATAGTAACTCATTTTTGCAAAAGTTACCATAATATTTTAATATTAGCTCGGAGAACTGAAAAATATTAGATACTACATGATATTTTATTAAAAAATTCCACTTAAGTACGGTTCTTGACCGAGCGGAGCCAAATAACTTTTCCGATCAGGTTCTAGAAAAAGCAGTAGCTTTAGAGTATTTGCTCTAGTACCGGTATTTCACTGTGACACAGACAAAGGCAATCGAGATGGAAAACTGCAAACGCTTGCAGCTGTTTAGCGTTGATATAGCGAAATCAAGACATTTGTTCTTGTTCTCTACCGATCTCCTCGTCCACATCGTGCGTCTAATAAACCTGCTGCCTGTGGCGCTAGGTTAATGCGCTCAGCAGTGCCAACACATCACGCCAACCTTGACGTCACTCTCCCCTCCCTCACGGTTATTTAGTAATACTTCAGCTAGTCGAGCGTTAACGATATCTGATTGGTTAATTTAACCTGATTACGCAATCTTTGAGAAATATAATATCGTACCGAATTATCGTTGTCCTAGGGGACGTTTACTCCTAAGGGTTACCAACGAACCAACCAATCGGATCCTTCGATTGTAATACAGATGGCTCCATTACTTACGATAAGGTTCATTCTAATTTTACTTCGGCGGAAGCTAAAAGAATGGAGCCCAACACCACAAAGAAAACGGCAGGCCGTCGAAAAGTATGGTTCGCCCTCGCATCAATGGACCAGGAAAGAAGCGGAAGACCTATCAACGTAGGGCAGTAGAGTATGCGCATAAGAGAGACGTCCTCGACTACATTGACAGCGGTCACAGCCTTGACGAGACAATTTCACAGTTCTACGGCGACTTAAGTGGCTCCGACATTCGTGCTAAGAAAAAACAAATTCACAAGTGGAGCAAGCAGGCTCCAACTATACGTGCTGCATGTGATTCTGGGCGGGGGTGCCACCGAAATCTGCGCGGACTTGGTGAAGCGACTGTGCTCACCAAGGAGGCTGAACGCGCTATCGTAGTGTGGGTGAATTCGCTGCGGAAAGATGGTGCCCCTGTCTCCCGTCTCATGCTTCAACTGCAGGCAAAAGAAGCAGCTGCAGACATTGGCCTTGAAGGCAAATTTGCAGCCACATCAACATGGGTTAAGCTATTTCTTCGTCGCCATAAATTAGCGCTCCGTGCACGTACCATGCAGGGACAGACGACGCCACAGGATGCTCAAGATGCAGCTACGACATTTCGAGCGCTGGTGCTGCAGACAATCGTCGAAAAGAAGTGTGTACAAGTATACAATGCTGATCAGACGGGTAATATTTTTTATTTTAGTTGTAAAATATTTTTAATGACTTTTCTTCTTGTAGGTGTGAATTTTGAGTATTTACCAAAACAAACCATATCTCAACGTGGAGTGAAAACTGTTTGGGTAACATGTACAAATAAAGAGAAGGCTCGAGCTACAGCTATGCTTTTGGCGGACTGGGAAGGCACAAAATTGGCTCCATTCATAGTGTTCAAGTGTCAACCGTCAAAAATTAAGGAAAAAAGGGAAGAGAACCACACTCTGCGCCATGGGTTTAGCCCGACTATGTGGACCCGTAAAATTAATCCACTTCAAGAGCGCTACAATTGTCAAATTTACGGGAACCAGTGCGCATGGTGGAATTCTGATTTGTCTCTGAGTTTTCTCAAATATCACTTTGCTGAGCGCACGAACCGAGATGACCACATTTTACTCATATGGGACGATTTCAGCGGGCATTGGACCCCTGAAGTTGAAGAATATGCAGCGTCTATTAACGTTATCCTACTTAAAGTACCGCCGCGTTACACGTACGTATGCCAACCGGCAGATATTTCGTGGAATAACCCCCTAAAAACTAGGTTGCGAGGTCTGTGGATCAACCGGCTGAGAGACCAACTTGTTGCGTATCGAGCCAAGGAGAAGCAGCGCCAGGAGAAAAGAAACAAACTCCAGAGAGATATTATTCGTGTGCGCAAGGATCTAGTGCAAGAGGAAGCAGAGTCTGAAGTTGAGCGACTTCGGAAACATTATACAGAAAAGCCCTTTTAAATTGGAGCCCCCAAAAAGAGAAGACATTACGGAGTGGATATCAAAATGCTGAAACGAGCTTTCAGAAAAGACAATTGTTAGTGGATTTGCAAAAGTAGGCATATTGGCTGATACTCGCCGTGCTGAGCAAGATTTTGACTCATATCCGGGACATATTGATAGCGAGCTTGTCCAAGAGCTGGAAAAATGCAATTTAACTGATGGTCATGTCGACTCTGACGATGATATAGAGTCTGAAGCTGGTACCGGTAGTGATAGCGGTAGCGAATGCTAAATACAGTAATTTGCAGTGAATGCTTCGGTAAAACTATGATTTGCATTCATATGTCGGTGCTCACGATTTGCATCCTTTGCTATTGAAGTGACGCCTAGGACTACGATAATTCGGTATATTAGTGGAGACCGTCAACTTTACCCCTGAATAGAAACAAAAGAACTCGAACGAGATTATTCTCTATGCTTCCGGTCATCCATTGTTCAGCTCAGCCGGATACCTTTAGTTCATCATGGACAACGAGTGAATTACTCTAGCTTTGATCTGCTGTCGCTGCTGGACACTCACCTAAATTAGAACAGCAGGAAAGGCATTTGCAAGTGCGGGCTCCATGTGGTGCAAGCAGCCCACACTCGACATGCCACAGTGAAAGAACTGTAACGTTGCTCCGGCTGTCTCGAATGGATAAAAGGACACCTTATCCTGACCAGCCTGCTTGAAAAAGTAAAATAACCTTCGATCGAAAAGGCTTCTGCTTGTATTATACATGAACAGTAACTGGTAATTCGAGCATGTCGACCATTGTGATCGTACCGACCATCTGACCGAGGTTTGAACACTGCTGTCATCGACTCAGATTGGATAGGCATGCGTGCGGGACAGCAATGTTCACCTCGACCCAGCGTCCAGGAAACCAAACTTTAGGGCAAACCTGCTGGCAACACAGTGGCAAGACCGTCTTGTCAATGCAAATCTGCGCTCCCACTCCGACCCGAGGCCGCGGGATCGAAATGAAGTTGGCGACATGTTTCTAGCGCTCGCGTACGCGCGAGCGGATACCGTCGATGTCAGCGGCGTGCCGACCGTTGTCACAAGCGCCAGCAAGGTGTCACTGCGCCGCGAATTCTTGAGCTCACTTTGCCAAGCTCACGGCGACTGCGAGCACAGAGAGCACTACGCAAGCTGCGCAAGTGCATTCAACTGTCGATTCAGGACACCAGCTGGGGTGAGGAGGTTGGTTAACTTACCAGCTGTCCCTGTCTGCTGCTCCTGCGCTCTCAAGCTGCCTCTCCTCTCCCTTCTCATCTCACCGTCGTGCTCACCCCGTGTCAGTTCACGTTTGACTCGCCGAGGAATTTACTTGCCCGGGCGTTAAGCGGATTCATTAACCTTCCCGATTAGCGAAGACTTTGACGATTAGTGAGATCCGTTTGACCGACACCATGCATCTTCGGTTCCCCTTACCGGCGGGCTACTTCGCCAGGTTCGACTTGCTACCGAACGAGGTGCAGAACTATCGGTCTCTAGCCAGCGACATCGTCCGTGAGACGAAGAGAGATCTGGACCACTACATCAAGGACGGACGCAACCTCATCGACGCACACACGTGGAAACTCGCCAAGTCAAAGGAGCGACTGCACTGCTACCGGAAGCGCAGTACCCAACATTCCGCGCACCAGCTTGGACTGTACGGCACCGCGGGTACAGACGGAAGTGGCACTGACTCGATGGGCACATACCCGGCACGGTCCCGACCGTCGATGAGCGTCACGAGCTCTCATAGTCGATCGGGATACGAAGACGGGGGCTCGTTGTCAGTGTCAACCCGCTCTTCTGACGACGGTGAACCGAGTCGCAAGAGCATTCAACCGGCAGTAATAGGCTACGGTATTGTGGACGGCACCGTGGACGACCTGGTGTACGGTCTGTACCAGTCCTCGACCAACGAGATGAAGACCTTGTCGGCGTTTCTGGGCGATGACTCGCTCATCGACTGTGCAGCGCTGAAAACTATCCGTCAGACGCGCTCATCGTATCTGGGACTCAAGTGGAAACTGTCCCGTACGGTCGGGGGTAACCGCGACTGCTGTTACATGGAATATGTCGGCGTATCTGAAGACGCCAACGGCCAGCGCTTCGGCTACCACGTACTGGAGTCTGTGGTAGTCCGCAACTGTCCTCAGTTCGACGACAACTCGATCGTACGCACCAATTTGTCCTTCTGCTACATCTTCCGCCCAGGTAAGCTGGCTGACCAGGTCGAAGTGTTCATGGAGGGCGCATACGATTCATCGGCCGACGTGCTCACTGCTGGTGGTGTCGGAGACTACCGTACCGCGATGGATATGCTCTTCAACCTCCCGTCAGCTATGGTAGGAGCGGAAGCGAAGAAGATCTCGGCTATGGTAGCAAAACAGTCTGATGCGCTGCGTGGCGCGAGTAGCAAGAACCAGAGCGGCAATCACTGCTCCATTTGCCGCGCCAAGTCCGGTTTGCTCTCTTCACACACGAACTGCCAGACTTGTGGCGCTGTTATCTGTAGCAAATGCCGCATCCGGAAGGTGACATTCTCTCGTCGAGGCAAGATCAAAGTCTCGTGTTGCAAAATGTGTTTGGTTATGGTCAAGGACCAGTCACCATTCGCTGGGGAACAGCTCGAGCAACAGCCAGCAAAGCCCAGGAAACCGCGTGAGGACAGTCGCAATAGAAACGATAGCACCAGCAGCAACACCAGACTCGACCTGATCAACGCGTCAGTCTCGACCATGTCGCTCACGGACTCGGAGTTCTCTGCCTCGTACCAGTCGTGGCAGTCAAGCTCTATGTCTTCGCTTCAATCGGACCATGACGACAGTTTCTACGGCTCGAATGCTGCTAGTAACGCTATGGTTCCTCTTGATAGGAAGATGCCGGCGCTTATGGAGAGCGAAATCCCATCGCAGCATCTCGTGTCCTATCAGAGTGAGCAACAACGTCAGTACGAACAGCAACAAGTCCAGCAACAGCAGTTCTTAATGCGGCAACGTATGAAGCAACATGCTGGGCCGAACATCCCACCTGTACCGAATCAACGTCAGCCCAGTACTCGCGAAGGACTGTACAACCAAATGCTGGAGCTACAGATGCAAGCGGAGCGGGCCTACAACTTGACAAATCAGAACGCCAACATGATGAACTCGAGGCGATAGATACTCAAAAGGCCCGGATAGATATTAACCCTTGATAAACTCGTTTGCAAAACTTGATGCCGCTTTATTCTTGCTTTGTAGCGTTCACTGCACCCCACGTGCATAGAAATTCCATGCTCAAATTCCTCTGGGTGCTGCAGCTAACTTCGGTTGGTTTGACCTTTCTAAGCATCTTGTGTATCCACCATCGCTTGACGAATCGAGCCATTAACAGGCTCTTAGTTATCAAGTAGCCTTCGTTGCACCAAAGACTACAGTAGAGCTATAAACTAGCGACGAGAGTCCAATTCTTTGAATTCAGCACTGTACTTGATCGCCTCTCACTTTCGAACGTCGAGCAACCTGAGCGGTAGGGGGCCCAAGCTGCAGTGGTCGTGGGTATTATAATGGATGTAGCTACTTGGACTTCACCCGTCTTTTGATCGTCCAAGACGCCTCAACCTTGAGAACCAAGTGATGTTGATATTAAGCCCCAATTCGGCAGCCTTACCAAAGGCAAGCTGTCATTTCGAACACCTTTGGATTCAGGAGTCGCGTTAAAAGGCGCTGGTCTTGTACGACATGTAGAGCTCTTTCTGCGCTAAGGTCTACAAGAAGGGTGGCTGCTGGCGCGGAGCTCGTGATGTCAAGTGAAGAGGGGGAAAATGATGTCGTGTGTATCACACCGCAAAAGACAACTGTCTGCGTTTCCCCGGAGCCGATATCCAAACGAAATGAGTCCAACACTTCGTTTGGCGGGTTCCGGCGCAAAACGCGTGGCTGTCCGGCCGCGATGAAGGTTGAGTGCAGCAACTGCAACCATCACATCCTGTCGCGTCTATCGTTGCAGTTGCAGCTTCAAACAGGTTAAACGTGTTTTGGTTAAACTTAACCAAACGCGACGAGGCAGACGACACGACTATGGCTTTCATTGACGCTTACGGTGCCTTGCTGCTGGCCGGACTCCCGTATGAATCTTCAAGCAGCTTGAACTGCAAGAAGTACGGAGCTGAGGGCCAACCATACGGCATTCAAATGTGCGACTGACCCAGCCGAACGGATTTCCGGGATTCCGGTGCCTTGTTCAAGCAAGATAAGCCAAGTTCAACCATAACCTCCCCGTCTATTGTTTGTTCACAATCTCTGGACGATCAACTGCAACCAGGATCCGCACGCGACGAGGCAGAGCTTGCAGTGTTTACATGTATTTGACGGTCCACTTGCAGTTTGAGCCGCGTCTTGAACCGAGACGAGCCATTTCGCTGAGCCAGCTGCGCTGAGGCAGTCGAGTTGGAGTCGGCAACGGCAGTGATTGGTTGCACGGAGCTTCGAGAGCCGCAGGACGCTGGATTTGACAACAATTCACGACTTCAACTTCAAGGTGTCTTTTGTAGTTTGAGACTTTGGCCGGGCCCTCCCTCCTCGGCAATGAGCCACCTTTACGTTCATGGTTGGCTGTGCTCAATACAATACACCAACAGAAGGAAGATAGCGATTCTGCTGACGAATGGAGTCTAGTCTTTCGACTCGAGAGCTTTCCGGACCATGAAGTTGAATTCATGATGAACTCAAGGGTATGTAGCCATGACTAACTGGACCGCAATTTGTGTTACCCTCAGGGTGTTAACACGAGCTCAAAAAGCGTTTACTGCCATCGGGTTTAATATTGAGGGGATAAAGATCAATAGCATCACATGTATAGATCGCAAGCCACTCATTTTTACAGTGGAGGCCTGCAGCTTGTTGCGCATTGCGTTGCCGCATGAAAGACGTGCTCGTCCTCATTTCGATGTAAAACTTGTAAATTCAAGTGACAATAGCCCGTGTTTGTCCAATCTCGAAGCAGTGCCCATCCCCATTTTAACTCCTTGTATCGATAAACTTATCAATAAGCATAAGCTCCCTTATTGAATGATTTAGAATAGGATGCGGAAAAGATTCAAACCAGGACAGACATGAACTGCTGCTGCCATCTATGAATGCCGCTCAGCCTATATGTCATCCCGTACTAGTGGTGTGTGCCGACGTTTGGTCAGCCACTACGATTTCTGCCACTGTGCCAATTATTCCGACGGTCCACGCAAAACCTGCAGTTATTTATGGTCACAAAATTATTGGATCGCTCAGAACCAGTGCAGGTGTGCACATGACCGAGCCTGCAGTCGAGTTTGGGGACGGTCTGGGGACGTTTTTAGGAAACTCCAATTCGGACCTCTGAGAAATGTAGCGCTTTAAAACCCACCAGGTTATTTCAAATAGAATCTTTCTATATCTATAATTCATATCCCGTCAAATTCGTAATTATTGGTTTATCCATGTTTTGCACCACCAAGGCGATGAGCATTCACAACGGTGTTGGAGATACCCTTCGCTTCAGCCTCTGTCATTCTGCAAATTGCTCGCTCACGCGCACTCGCCTCGGCCGCCCCGGAAGAAGAAAAGAAACCACCCGCATCCTCGTCCTTTAATTAAATGCAATCCGTTGTGCGTCAGCGTTTCTCCTCCTCTGCGGCCTTCCGCTCTTCGCTACTGCGTCGTACCGCATCGTCCAAGGCGGCAGTCGAGCCCGTTTTCGACAAGCGCGACGGCTCCAAAGGCGAGATCGACAGTGCGCGTGCCTTCATCGAGTTCAAGCGCGAAGCCGATCCGTACCGTGATGTGGGCGAGCGTGTGCACGACTGGAACGAGATCAACACGCCTCGTCGCGACCCTATCGAGCGTAAGATCCAAGCTGCTCGCTGCATGGACTGCGGCACCCCATTCTGCCAGACCAACACGGGTTGTCCCGTAAATAACCTCATCCCAGAGTGGAACGAGCTCGTCTTCCGTGACGAGTGGAAGGAAGCCAGCGACCGTCTGCACAAGACCAACAACTTCCCCGAGTTCACAGGACGCGTGTGCCCCGCGCCGTGCGAGGCCGCGTGCGTCGCTGGCCTCGTTGACGACCCCGTCACCATCAAGAACACTGAGTACGCCATCGTGGACCGCGCCTTTGACGAAGGATGGATCGTGCCGCGTATCCCGCGTCGTAATGGCCTGCGTGTGGCCGTTGTGGGCTCTGGCCCCGCTGGTTTAGCAGCCGCCGACCAACTGAACCAGAAGGGATATCACGTCACAGTGTACGAACGTGAGGACCGCGTCGGTGGTCTACTCATGTACGGTATCCCCAACATGAAGCTGGACAAGAAGACGGTCAACCGTCGTGTCGATCTCCTGCAACTAGAAGGCATCGAGTTCGTCACTAACGCCGAGATTGGAGTGAGCCATCCCGTGGAGCAGCTGCAAGCCGAGAACGACGCCGTCGTGCTGGCTCTGGGCTCCACTGTCCCGCGCGATGTGGACATTCCTGGCCGTGACCTCAAGGGCGTCCACTTTGCCATGGAATTCCTTACTAAGAACCAGAAACGACTCATTTTGACAGTGGACGGCAAGCTGCAGAGCGGATGGGACCGCGACTTTGTCACGGCTGAAGGCAGAGACGTCGTGGTCATTGGAGGCGGTGATACCGGTACAGACTGCATCGCTACGTCCATGCGTCAACGCTGCAAGTCGGTGGTCAACCTGGAGCACAACCCGGAGCCCCCGGCTCAGCGTGCCCCGGAGAATCCGTGGCCTGAGTACCCGCGTATCTTCGGAGTTGACTACGGACACGCTGAGGTGCGCTCTGTGTTTGGAGAAGACCCGCGTAAGTACGCGCGCGTCACGAAGGCGTTCAAGGGCAACGAGAACAACGAGATCACTCACGTGGTGACTGTGATGGGCGACAAGGACCCCAAGACCAACGCCATCACGGAGATCCCTGGTACGGAGGAGGAGATTCCGTGCGACCTGGTGCTGTTCGCTATGGGATTCGTCCACCCGGAGCAGACGATCGCGGAGTCTCTCGGATTGGAGATCGACCAGCGTCGTAACATCCGCGCGGCGTACGGCAACTACCAGACGTCAGCGGAGGGCGTGTTCGCTGCTGGTGATTGCCGTCGTGGCCAGTCTCTAGTGGTGTGGGCGGTTAACGAGGGTCGCGGGGTAGCAGACGCCGTGGAGAAATATTTCCTGCAGGAAGGCTTTCAGCCTGAGGTGTCCCAGAACCAGCGCTTTGGTTAAATTGCAGATTCAAGAAGACAGATTGTACGGGCTAATTATTGTAATACACGGAGAATCCGATGAATTGAGAAGCGTTAACATCATTACCGCTCAATGCGCAAACAAGCAGGTCATCAAACGGATGGAGGATGAGGCGTCTTAGATGCGGATGGTGGGCACTAGACCGCGCAGTTTGGCGACTCCGGTCTTGAGACTCTTGCTGTTGCTCTTGTTGTAGCGTAGATCCAGCACGCGGACGCCTGTGAGCATACTGACGTCTTTCAGCTTGGCGCAGTCGGAGAGATTGAGTTCGTGCACGTTCTGCAGAGCCGACACGTCTTCTAGTTGCGTGCAGCCTGAGAGGTTGAGTGTGTGCACTTCAGACAAGGCAGACACGTCGATCACTTTGGGACAGTGACGCAGAGACAGCGTGTGGACGGACGCCAGAGCCGACACGTCTTGGACGTTGGTACAGTAGCTCAGATCCAGCTCACGAACTCGTGCGAGAGGTGACACATCTGTTAGTTTGGAGCACCCGGCGAGCTTGACGACGCGAGCGCTCGCAGCTAGCGGACGAACGTCCTCGAGTGCGTCACAGAAGCGCAGATCCACTTCTTGTGCTCCAGCGAGAAAGCGGATGTCGCTGATGTGCGAACACCCGGAGAGATTCACCTTTGTAAGACTCTTAGCAGAAGATGTGAGCACTTCAATGTCCTCGAGTTTCTCGCAGCGGTAGGTTATGAGTGTGTGTACCTCGCGTAGAGAAAACCCTAATGTTTTTAGGTTTTTGCAGAAACTCACGTCGAGTTCACGGACACACATGAGACCATCGAGCGTAGTAAGTTGGCTACATCGTGACAGCACAAGTCGATCTAGTGGAGGCAGATGACGCAGGTCGGAGCTTGGGAAACCCGTGCAACCTGACAGATCCAGGTCACGAAGACTCGAGCTTGACCCTAATGCTTTGAGATCCGTCACTGCACCGCACTGCCGCAGCGACAGCTCTTGCACGCCATTGCTAAGAGCGGAGATATCGCTGATGTGTCTGCAGAGAGCAAGCTGCAGTGTAGGCACTCGTCCTAGTGCGCTCACATCCGTGACATTGATGCAGCCAGTGAGGTCCAAATCCTGAACACCTCCAAGAGCCGATACGTCGACGATTCCAGCACATTTGCGTAGTTGCAAAGTGTGTACTTTGCCTAGCGCGCTGACATCGGTCACGTTGATACAACCGGAGAGATTGAGCTCGTGTACGTTGTTTAACGCGCTGACGTTCGTGACATTTGCACACCCTCCGAGATTCAGCTCGTGTACGTTGCCGAGTGCGTTAACGTCGCTCACGGCTGGGCAATTCCGCAGACTCACGCGACGTACGTGACTCAGTGGACTCACGTCGCTGATTCCTCGACACACGTTGAGTTGTACGGATTTACACTTTGCCAATGGCGAGAGATCTGTGACGGTGTGGCAATAGGAGAGGTCTACCTGCTGCGAGTCACCCAGGAACGAAACATCCTCCAAGAAGCTGCAGTAGCTCAAATCCACTTCGCGAATCCCTTTCAACCAGTGCAACCCGTCGATTTGGCTACAACCACTCAATCCGAGCTCGTGTAGGCGGTTCACGCCGTCGAACAAACTCACGCGCACGATTCCTGACAAGTTCAATCGCCTCACTTGGGCACCACTGCTTCGAATGCAAGTTTGCAGTACCTTGGGACAGGTATACCTCGTCGGGACACTCACTCCACTTTCGTCGGTGTAGCTCTCGTTTGCTTCGGGCTCAGGAGCAGGTTCGTTGCGATCATGATTAACGATGAGCCCACCGAGAGCGTTCACGTTGTAATGGATGTTTTCGAGCAATCTCTCACTCTCCGAGTCGGCGACAGGTTGGAAAGCCACATCGCGGAGGTTCCGCCACTTGCTCAACACTCGCAAAAGCTCTGGAACGGTGCAGACCAGCGAAGCCTCGGATCGTAGCTGGACGTGTTCGTGCACGACGTCGTAGAAAAAGTGATTCAGTTCCGCCAACGCTACCGCCTCATTTAGAGTCAAGAACGGGATCAATTGCCCGTCCCAAAGTTCAATGGGCATAGTGTTCTGCAGGTGACAAACGTCATTACGATCCGGTTGATGCTGCATAGAATGCAAGTATCGACAAGAGATATAGTGTGCGAATTGCAGAGTGAAAACTGCAGGTCTAGTGACAATTCATGAGCGAACGGAGACTCAAGCTGTTTTGCCATGAGGCTCAGCGGCCGACAAACGCCTCTACAATACCAATGCGATGTATGTGGACCAAATCACTCGGCAAACGAGCGACAGCAGATGGTGCCTCTTAGTCCCTCTACCATAAAAAAGGGTAATTTATTGTAGCTAAATCTCCTAAGAAATAAAGTTTAAAATATTTATTGAAAGAAAAACTGTGAGAAAGCATTTTAAGAGCTTCTTGTTTTTGTAACTGAAAACTAAATTTGTAGTGCAAAAAAAATAAATGAAGTACTTCGTTAATTCTGCTTTTCAAGATAAAAAGCAGAAATAAGAGAATGTGAACTGGGTATTCCTTTATTTATACGTTTGGAAATTACTCGATTTAAGCTTTAATGCCTTTCATTGCTACCACCGCAGCCCGGTCCTCCTGCGAGGCGCAGGCACGCCGTGGATGGATAGATGCTTATAATGTTCACCACGACGGCCCAGCATAATGCAACTGCGAAATAGCCGAGAGTTACCATTCCTAAAATTCGACTGTTTCCGCCGTTGAGCTTGAGTTGTTGCGTCTCCGCCTTCTGACGCGGCAATAGCGGCAGGAACAACAACCCAGCGAGGTTCATTGAGTAGCGAATGATAAGGACGTACGTCACCTCCCAACGAACATGTCTCGAGTCCTCGACAATGTCAGCGTTGGTCACATCGAAATTGCTGCCTACGTTCTTCGTAAACGTACTAGCCAGAGGAATAGCGATGTTGGAAATGGAGCCCACGAGGCCGTAGACGGCTCCTTCGTTGCCCTCACCCGCCAGCTCTACCATCACAAAAGTCGCGATCACAAACGCGATTCCGTTAGGTAGAGCCTCGGCCACTGGGACACCAAGCCAGAACCACTGGTTGCGTACAACGTTCCATGTTGTGAGCATTGTGACCGTAAAATCCATGACCGTAGCGATGATAATAGTGACTGCGTGCATTGTCCGCCAGTTCCAGTGAAGACCGTATTTGCCAGTGTAATAGAGTGCGAGAGCAAACATACCGTTGCCCATGACAGCCATGATTTTCTGGTTGAAAGGAGTGGCCTCGACCCAGTACGACTGTATTGGGTCTGCGCATGTGATTGTGAAGTTCTCGAAAATACCAGCGAAAAACTTATACGCAACGACTTGGTACATGGGTCGCAGTTGAATCAGGTACCAGAGTTCAGCCAAATAGTCGCGAAATATGACACCGGGGTGACGGTCTTCCTTGATGCAGTACCACGATAGCGGTATAACGGGGAAGCAACACACACTGAGGATAGCCATCAGCTGTGGAAAACTTAGACAAAAGTCAAAGTCACCACCGTAGTGCTTCCCGTTGAAGGCCAAGCCTGTGAGGATACTGGAGATGGTCACGAAAGCGGTACGAACCATGTAGATCGTCGTCTGGCAATACCCGCGTCTAGCTTCCGGTTCGCGTTGAGCTACTTCTACCATCATAGCATCGGCAGCAACATCGGCACCAACGTAACCCACCGCTGCTATCATCATCATCGCGACGAATTTACCGCCTACATGGTGCGCTGACTCGTTGAATGTTGCGATAAGCTCAGGAGTCAACTCTTCCTTTTCCATTGTCGCGTACTTGTTGTTCGGGTAGTACGGGGCGCCAGCGTCCATGCAAGCCATAGCCACCAATGTCAGGAAACAGATACTCCATCCGATAACCATGAACGGACGACGTCTGTAGCCCTTAATTGGAAGGCAGTCTGATAGCATACCGAAGAAGAGCTTAACCGACCATGGCATGTTGATTAACACGGTGGCAGATACGACTTGTGTGCCTTCCATGTTGAGGTAGTTGAAGAGAAAGGGGTAGACGATGCCTGGAAGTGTACCAAAGATCATCCCCACTGTAGCATACTGCGCGATCAGACCAATATACTCGCGACTCCAAATGTTGATTTCTCCTCCACCTCGAAGTGCGCCTCCCTCGTACAGCTGTGGAGACTTGGCATCAAGAAACCAGTCATTCTCTTTCCTGGGTGAAAAGTTATTAAAGTCTGCACTCGACGGAGCTGGCGCTAACAGGTCGACTTTCTTGCGCGGCGCTGTGCGCATCGGTTCTTCGAGTATCGGCACTATGGTTGCGGACAAAGAAAGCGAAAATGGTTTGCTGGATTAATCTGCTCGTTGACGACAGGTTTTGGTGACAAAGAGCTCAAAGACCGAGCAGTGTTAACCAGAAACCATCTGAAGCTCATTTTCCACCACACTTATGGCACTTGGGATTAAGAAACGATGGGGCGTTGAGCAGAACCACGGGATTTATTTTTGTCCGGTCCTGGTACAGTACTGCACCCCGTTCTCGCGGGGGTGGACCATATAGAATTTGCAAATAAATTTGACTTTAGCATTCAAACTATAGTTAATTTGAATTCTAGCTCATCACATCCGGAAGTTTATCAAAGGTTCAAGGGCGCGAATACGGGGTGCAGTACTGTACTGTAATATGTATAGTAGATTAAAATCGTCAAATTGTGTTCGCCTGTCGTATGTTAACTCCGTATTCCGCATAATGTAACTTACTACAGTACCGTCAGTTTGTCGCGGAAATGCAAAACATCTATCCACTAATGATACTGTGCTTCAGGCTCTCACGTGGTATGAATAATGCCACCTTCGCATTAATAATGCAAAGGTGGCATCTATCGTTGTGATAAATACCAGCGCAAACACATTATTTAACGGAAAATGTATTATAGAAGATGTTGTCTTTTTTCTTTAAATGATGCACTCTTTTAGCGAAATGACGTGCCATTGTGCCATTGTGCCATTTGCCATTTGAAACATTGAGTCAATTTCTAGGGTATCAGCTGCCAAGACACGTCGAAAGCGAAATCCATACGTGTGGGAAGTTAATGGGCGCTCCATTAACAATCTTGAAGTCGGATGTGAGTACATGCGTGTGGAGCAACCACGCTGACTGCATTATTATACGCAGTGCATAGTAAATTGTATACGCGAGATGAAAAGTTGAAAATCAGCCGTGAGCCTGCCAGTGTTTCGATAAAGTCGTACTTTGAGGTAAACACGAATGCTATCTAATACTTCTCCGGCCCACTTCAAAATGACGATTTCAGTTTTGGGCAAAAAACTCTTTAACAAGAGCTAGCTGGTAGACACATGGCACACCACGTCATAGCCCGAAGTACGACGCACAGGATCATATTTTTTAGGTTGTAAGAATGGTAAATATGCGCGTGCACGCTGCGATCAAAACCGCCGCGTTTGGAAAGGCATTAGGTTTTTTGTCGCAATTCAGTCAAAAATTAGCGATATTACACCATACTTT